AATAATAGTATTTATACTTGCGAAAAAATAGATTAATATTGATTTGCTCGCTGACAGCGACTTGATCGTTGATTTTTTTGTAAACTCGTGGCTGGCAACTGTGACGTCCTTCTTCAAGTCGATTGATTCTATTATATCATTCAGACACCTCAATATCATCAGTCGTAAAAACCTGCTAGAGTACAAACACTAAAACTATGCAACATAAATACCACTAAATACTGYTAAATTATGCTAATTCTATTGTTTTCTATTGTTTAATTAACACTATTTTGTRGTAAATAGTGGAAAGYGTTGCACACATTCAATGTTTGTACTCTATTTTTAATACTGACTAAGCTCAGACTTCAAAACTTTAGCAACATCATTCAACGTAGAAACGGATTTTATTTTGAGTTTATTACCAGTTTCAAAGAGTGTACTAARGGAATGTGTTCCAATGGGAGGTTCCAGCAACGAAACCTCGGGATCTTCGAGTAATTGTTCATCATTTTTAGCGGGTTTTTTTTCAAGCCAATATCGAAAGCAATCATTGACCATTGTCATACATCGTAACTCTGACGGTCGACAAAAAATCATAAAATAACATGACAGAAATGCAAAAATAATTTTAGTCAGAAAAACTTGATGTTAAATAGATCGATTGAGTAGAATTAGCAATGAAAGTATTCAATTTTATATTAATCAATCTTGGGATTGATGTTATTGAGCTAATATTGAGGTGTCTGAATGATTCAATAGAACTTCAATCGACTTGAAGTGTTGACGTTCGTCGCATGAAACGGCGACCAACATCTTTTAATAAGTATTTCAGTTATCTCGACTATTCTTCTACAGTTCTATTCCTAAGTTTTAGAGGGCCTYACTTACTTTCAGTTTGATATATGTTCGATCCGTTCATTACCAGGAACTTCATGAATTGTTATTTTTATTTTACTAGCTAATTGTTTTTTATACTATTTCCAAGAAGAAGAACTTTTGTATTCTATACTGAAACAAATAGTTTTTAGTAAATCAAAGCTTAGAAACTTATTCCACGCATCAGAAAATAGCTGACTAACTTCAAGCACAAGTGAACACCCTCAGTCCAATATTGAATACGCGGCACTTCACGAGGTATTTTTTTCTTCTTGATGAGATGTGAGCATAAATGGAGCTAGTGGATTTATTTAGCTATTTCATGGTCAAACAGGKCATTTCTATCTGTGGACTAACTTTAGCCTAATGTCGTTTAGTTCGAGTCACTTTGTGAGCATGTATTATTTTCATTTTTATGATTATATTTTTTGATATTTTGTCGACCGTCAGAGTAACGATTGGTATGACAGTACTCTACTTTGGTATTGTTCTAGAAAAAACGCTAAAAATGATGTACAAATTCCAAAGATTCGGAACAAAAATCGCTGAGTTGCCTTTTCAACGYGTCGGTCRTCTTTTTAAAATCTCCGATTATCTTCTATAGCATGTCTATAGTGCAAGTAGGTTTTAAAACTTGAGCTGAAAATGGTAATAAGGATCATATATTCAATTTTATATTAATTCATCATGCGAATGGCAATATTGATCTAATATTGCGGTGTCTRAATGATTCAATATTGTCAATCAACTTGAAGTGTTGACGATCGTTAGGAAAGACGTCGATCAAACTATTTTATTTTGTGTTATTTCTATAGACTCTTCTTCTTCATTTTCCTTTTGGTTTGCATTCAGTCTGTATGACAAAAAAAATGTCCATCATTCATTGTGCTGTAAGCAGAAAGTCCTTTATAGCCTCGATTTATGTCAACAAATATCAAGATAAAATAAATACTTTCCTCTCTTTAGTTGCATGTCCATTAGTGAAATTAACACACTACCAGGTCTACATTGTAAGTTAAAAAGGGGTTTTGATAAACAATTTGCTTTCATATATGCTTATATGATAAACAGAATATTACATGGTCGCTTGGACATACGGACTGAATTTTACTTCTCAAAAATGTCGATAAAATCCGAATCTTCGCGCGCACTTGATATATCCTCACTAATAGTTTATAGTTCTAATAATCATTCACATCAAGCGGCGTTTCCATAAACAAAAATACCACTGCAAAAATAATGATTTGGTCTAGGCAAATATCTGTTTTTACAGGCATTCTCTACTTGCTTCAGTGTCTGTTTGAATAATTTTAGCAATGTCAAAGATCTGGCCAGTTAAAAACAAGATATTTGCAAATAATTTCAAATCCTGAACCAGTAGTTCGACAAATTCCAATGACAAATTACGGTTAATGCTTCCCTCCCTCCCTCCGGCCTCCCTCCCTCCCTGCCCCCAAGATGAAGAAATAACAAAACAAAAATCACAGAATTGTCACTAGTTATGGCCAAATGCATCTAACGACTTACATCACAAGTACGCTAGTCTACCTCAGCTACTATATTAAACACCAGCAGAAAATACTATATTTTCAATAACACTCTACAGTACTTTCAAAATAACTCAAATATATTTTTGTCTTGTAATTTGAAGTGAAGCTGCGAAATGGTTGAATGAGTTGCTGACGCAGTTGTGGTTATTTTTCCTTACGACTTTCTGTGCAGTGATGACTGTTCAGTCACATATAAAGCATTTTGCAAACATYATGTAAAAGTTAGTAATTATATCTATATGTTTACCGTTCTAAAGCTTTAAAAACCTTAGATAATAATGAAATCAAAGGTCTTACAAAAAGAATGCATGATTGCTTTTTCTTACTTGGTTGTCAAAGGCGATTTATGTAATATTTATCGAGCACAAAAAACTGCTAGGGTTTTAAGACTTTTGATACTCTGAAATATCTATTTTTTCTACATTTAATACGAAATTGCAGACAAGAAAATATGTTCAACTTTGGCATCAAATTTACATAAGCAAAATATCAAG